TCAGCATGGTTCCAATCAATTGTGGGGAAAATGCCTTGCAAAGGTCATCTTCTAATGTTTAGTTTCCAATATCAGTGGGAATGTTCTCCCAGAAAGACAATGAAACTTCAGAACGAACCCCAGCACAATTGACAAGATACTCTCACTGATACAATCCCAACGGGGGCGGATATTAAATAATGGAAAAAAAACAAAAAAAACCTTTGTTCTCCATGTTTGACACTTAATAGAGATGGCTTATTCAGACTACTATAACTTGACTACCCTCATATGCTTGTGTGAAATCACAACCCAGTTCCATGAAAGTGTAACTATGTCAGAAGCATTTGGATTTATTTTTCATCAGTAACCGTGTACTGTTTGGGCACCAACCCTTTTCAAACTTTTCCTCACTGCAGCTATAAAAGATCTCACATCAGATCTAAAATCAGGTTATTTTTATAAACTAGAACCAATGACAGAAAAGGTAAGCAATGCAATGGCACACAATTTGCAGTTTACTGATGAAGTGCAAGTAATCTTTAGTTTCTGTCTATATTTCTGAGATGAGGTATTATGTACACTATTTACATTATTCAGACTACTGTCCTCAACTTTGTTGCCATATTTATTACAACGTTTCAGCTGTTGTACGCTCTGGCCTTCTTCACCTGAAGAAGGCCAGAGCATACAACAGCCAAAAACATTGTAATCTTTAGTTACTTTATCAAAGCAGCTAAAACTTTCAGATTGACAGGCTAAAATAAAGACTGGTCCTAACTCAAAGCATGAAGATCTCAATTGTCCAGGTTGAGAATACTAAATTCGGATATCATATTCTGCTACATGGATGGCAGAATAACACCCTTTACCTCTCAGGATATGGAGGGGAAAAAACCAGTAAAGAAAAATCTTTGATCAGTTTAAGAATAGTATGTCCATAAAACAAAGTTGGCCATGAAAAGCTTGGCATACACGTCATTACATCTACTGTCCCATAGGCACCTTTACCAACTTCAACAGGAATCATCTCTCAAAACAACCCGAAAGTCTGAACCAAAGTGCCAGCTGCCTTGACCTTCTTCCATTTTCCAAATATTTCGTGGTCTCTATAAACAAGATGTTTTGAAAGTTACACACGATGTGAAAAAAAAAACCTTGGGAAAACTGATCCCTATCAACATTTGCAGCATGAAAGACCAATATGAGGAAGTGGCTACACTAAAATGATATAGAAAAGGCCACAATTCCTGCCTCAGTATCCCTACCAGGCATCAACTGTCAAGCATACAACATGCAGTCTTTGTGAAAGATTTGCCTGCATAACCACTCCAGGACACACATATCAATGTACAAATGAAAGAAACCATCGCCATACTTTGGGATCAATAATGAGAGAGAGCCTGTCTAATATTTGCTCTGACAAAAAAAAAAAAAAAAAATCTATCTGCATGAGACAATCAAGGCATACTATTTTTTTCAATTATGTAGGACACTCAAGGTATTTTTTTTATTCTACTTAGTATAAGTACTGATATAAATGTGAATTCTTTACTACATTTGCTTATGTAAATTGACTACTTGATTACTATTGTCTGCAAGAATCTTTGATGTTTAAATGAGAACTCTCTATCAATATAATAGTTAAAGTTGGATTCTGTATGTTCGTATTTAACCTTGTAGGAGTTGAAGTGGCGCATTCTCACAAGAAATATTGAATTAAGAGACTACTAAAAATGCCCAAAATTAAAAGTAAAAAGTAATTTGTAACTGAATAATAGTAGGGTAAGTGTCTGTGCTGAAGTGAGAAATGAAAAGTGTGTGACACTTTCAACGGAGATAACTACTAAATGCTAAGTATAGAGTAATATTCCCTATTTGCAAATCTGGGTAAAAAAAATGTATATTCTCCTTTTGACAGAAGGTAATGTAAGCTGCAAGGAACTGAATTCAATGATAATCTTTTTTTTCATCAGAATTTTCTTTTGAAGGAAGACCCAGTGCCCATTACGTCACAAAGTTGTCTGGTAAATGGAAAAAAGAAAAATCTGCTAGATGAGTTATACACAAAGAAAATTGAAGATTAGACAAAACGGCCAATAAAAACAAGCATGAGGATATTAGACTGAACAACTTACAATATAATGACATGGTCCATCTCAGAATTTGACACAATTTTTACATACAATCTAGAATTTAAAATTCCATTTAAAAAAAAAAAAAAAAATAATATAAACTGTTTCAATAGTAAAAGAGTTGTTTATGTTAACGGCTTTGAGAGACATTTTCAAAAGTTTGTGCTTCAGTTTATGCATCTTGGTAAATCAATTTTGTGTGAAGGTTTTTGAGTTTGTTTCAAACTGGAAAAGTTCAACTTTAATATGGACATTTGCATGACGCTTCAGATGCTCCTTTCGAGAGAAAGCCTTCCCACATTTTTCACATGGATATGGCCTTTCCCCAGTATGAGTGAGCATATGTCGCTTTAATTTATCTTTGCGAACAAAAGCTTTCCCACAAATATCACAGCTATGAGGCCTCTGAATATGTGAAGCCATGTGATTGTCTATGTCAGCCTGCTGAAGAAAAGCCTTCCCGCACACATCACAGCAATAAGGTTTAATATCGACATGTACAGTCATGTGTTCTTTCAGGTCACTTTCACTAAAGAAGACATTTCCACATACTTCACAAGAAAAGGCACTACCTACAGTGCTATATTGTTGACTTAGAGAGATATCATTTTCATATGCGTTCATAGTATAAGGATAGTTTTTCATGTGGACTAAAATATGGCGTCTTAAATGCTCATTTCGAGAGAAAGCCTTACCACACAGCTCACATCTGCATGATTTTTCACCAGTGTGTGTTGTCATATGCCTCTTTAACTTGTCCTTACGGGGGAAAGCTTTTCCACATACACTACAGGAATATGGCCTCTCACCAGTATGTATTGTGGCATGTCTTTTGACATCACCTTTTCTGGAAAATGTTTTCCCACAAACTCCACAGTGGTAAAGATTCTCACTAACTGTAGCCCTGAACTGAAAATTTGAGTTTTGATCCAGTGTGAAACTATTTCCACATACATTAAGCTGCAAAGGTTTTTCTCCGCTGAATGAAGCCAGAGGACTTTGCTGGTGATGATTTTGAGGTAAACTGTCTTTAGTTACTCCCTGATTGGTGGTGGGTCTCTCTTCGGCATGTTTTGTCATATGTGATTTTAACTTATCCTTTCGAGCAAAAGCTTTTCCACACACTTCACACTCAAAAGGCTTCTCTTGAGTATGGATACTCATGTGTCTTTTCACATTCCTTAACCGAGTAAAAGAGTCTCCACAAACGTGACAGTTGAAGCGTTTCTCTCGCTTGTTCGCACTTATAACAGCTTTAGAAATTTCAGACGGATTCTCTTCTGTATGCATTTTCAGGTGAATCTTTAAGGCACTGAACCGAGAAAAGTTTTTCCCACATATTTTACAGATGTAAATTGTGTCCTCATTTGGTGTTATCAAGTTCGGAATTGTAGAAATAACTACTCCTTGAGGTTCACTGTCACAAGATTTTTTGGTACTATGTGTCATAACGTGATTTTTCAAATGATCGTTTCGCGAGAAAGATTTTCCACAAGTTTCACATTTATAAGGTTTCAATCCTGTGTGCGTCATCATGTGAACTTTTAACTTATCTTTACGAGGAAAAGCCTTCTGGCAAATCTCACACTGAAAAGGTTTCTCTTTTGTATGTATTAATTTGTGCCTGGTCACATGATTTTTACGAGAGAATGTTTTCCAACAAATTTCACATTGAAATGCCTTCTGTCTTGCATGGGTGTTCATGTGAAATTGCAAGGTGCTACTTAGAGAGAAACCTGCTCCACATACTTCACAATAGTAAAGGGCTTTCTGAGTTTGGGTCCTCAGTAGAATTTTAAAACTGCCACTTTCAGAGAAGCTATTTTTACATACTTCATAGCAAATGGGTTTCTCTTCAGAATGAGTTTTAACATGTTCTTCAAAGGAAGATTTTAAATGAAATATTTTCTCACACTGCTCACATCTGTAAGGTTTCTGTTCAATGTGTATAATTAAGTGAGTTTTTAATTCCTCTTTGCAAGAAAAATTGGCGTCACAAACCTGACATTGGTATGATTCCTGGTAATGTGTCTGTAAATGTTCATTTAACAGGACATTCTCAGAAAATGTCTCTCGACAGACATAGCAACAATATTCTTTATCTTCAGCAGATAATTCCATATTTTTGGTAGGTAGACTTATTTCCAAATTGCACGTTCAAGACAAGAATAATTTCCTGCAAAAGGAAAAAACAGAATTCTTTTAGACAATAAAATAAAGGAAGAGAAAAAGTAACATGAACTAGAATGATATCAAATTTAATCAATGGGTAACCAACCAATATCGATTAAAATTAGCATTTCTACCAATCAGTTGAAAAAGTCCAAGTAATATGACAAATTGATTTGTTGTTTTTGTTTACCAGCACATCAACCTCCATAGGCTACTTAGTGCAGAAATATAAATATTTTGTATGCATTTTTTTTTTTAGATAATAATGGTTTTAGTGATGTAGAATCAAAAGTATGATACTCACCCACACAAGGAAGTTCCCAACTAGTGTTCAGTTGGCAGACAAAAAGAAAGCAGGCTGTAACTTAATACAGACCCTGAACTCAAAGTATTCATAATGTGCAATATTTATTGATCACAGTATCCACACCAAAGTCAATAGTCAATCAGAGAATAGGCTTATATATAAACTGCTCACCAATTGACCCAAAGACAAGTTGCCAGAACAAACTCAACTTGAAATACAGTTGAGCACTGTTTGTTCAACTAAATCCTACAAGTGATACAAGTTTTACTAATTAACCCATAGCTGGGAGGAGAAGAGGTGGATTCATATCTTTTCCAAGGGTATCTCTGCATAAATGAATATAATAAACCCAAATCAGCTGATTAACAATTCCAAGCTATATCCATTACATCACTTGCATATCCAAGCTTACAGCATCTGTAATTTCTCAAGTCCTCACCCATCTAGGTACTGACCAAGCTTGACATTGCTTAACTTTAGTGATTGTACGGGAACCAGTGTTTCAACATGATGTGGCTGTAAGCCTCATATGACTAGATTAGATTTTGACAAGCTTTTAAATAATTAGAGACCAAATCATCATTTTTCTTTTTATATGCTAACCATCACCCAATACAAGGCTCGAGAGCCACCCAAGGTAGAGGGTCTCTATTAAAATGGTTATGATGAATGAGGTGTGTGGTATGAATGAAATAAGAGGTGGTAGGAAGTGAAGATTATGAGGATAGATAAGGAAGGACCATTAACTTGAAGAGGTCATGATTGCAGGGTTCAGGGAAGCACCCTCGTCGGAGTCTACAAAATGGCAGTTTTGGGGAGAAAGCTGTTTGAGTGAAACTTTCTCCTCGCACTTGGAATATAGAGAAAATAAAGAGGATTCAACTCTGTGGAATTAGCATAACATTTTGTAGGAGTAAAAGTTTAAAAACTGATGGAACTAAAGTATGAAGCTCATCTGAATATTTGCCTCAACCCACATGGGCTGAAGAAATCTTATTTAAATGGGCCTGGATTTGGCCCAAGGAAAATAGGAGGAGCGGCAGGGGATGCTAATATGTCTTTGAAATTCTATTTTTCCCTATCAATGTTTCATTGAAGGTTACGGTCTTATTTTCAATTCATGTGACTTAAATAATTACCGAATCTACTGACCTGAACATTTTGATACAAAGAAACAAGAAAAACAAGTTAATGAAAATATCTTAGAAAATCTAGAAAAATATAATTAATATCTAATGTATAGAAAACATGTTGAGTAAATTTGTAAGTTTTCTCTTTGTAAGATCTGTACCTTTTTGATGTTAGTTCTCTTGCACTTGTGCCATCAGGTGGCAGTGTCTTTTGTTATGGCAATAGAGGTACTGTTGGGCGGGCGGGAGTGATGTGAAAAGAGCAACATCATGAAGGAGCAGAGTACAAGAGAAAGAAATAATAAAAAAAAAATCAAGAAACACATGAAAATGAAATAATAGAAAAGACTGAAGAAAATATCAATTTCATTAATGTTGTCTTATTGTTCATGTTAGGATTGGTTGAATTTGTATAGCAGCATATCAACACCTATATGGGTTATTTAATGATGAAATCTAAATATTTTGTACATAATTTTATGCTTTCGGGGCAAAGTTCTTTTTTTTTTGTTTTAGATAGTTTGTAGATCATAAAATGTATTGTTGGTTATTTTACTATAAAAATGTATTTTTATACAAGCATCCCTAGATTTTTGATCAGTGCACTAACAGTTTTATATACCAAAATTTGATTAGTGCATACATAATACTCAATCAGTGTGGTAAAACATTTTTCAGTTTAACCATAGTAATTGAAAATTGATGCTTTTATAGTTACCGATATACATATTAGCCACATTAATCAATAGATTCCTGTATTTTTTTTGTGTTGCATTGTCATTTTCCTATAAAAATGTATTGTTGCTCATTTTATTATAAAAAGGTACTGTTGATTTTTGTTTGGAAGTGTCTACTATTTGCCCATATCTGGGACCCTAACAGATGCTACCACCTCATGTCAGGGTGGACCTGGGAACATCAGCAATTAAGAGGTGTTTCTATGCCCCTAAAAACCTCCAATCTCTCGATCAGAGGCCTTGCTGTCGGTTATAGTTTATAGCCATACACAGAACATTCATAGTAGGGATAAACTTGTTAAAATATAATTGTGTAAATTTGAAAGTTTATATATAATGAATATCAAGTTCTGCCTGGGAAAAAAAAATCACCTCTCAAACAGAAACCATATAGTGTTGCAAATTATGTCTAAGGTGACTACCATAAAGTTTTTATATATATATATATATATATATATATATATATATACACACACACACACACACATTACAGGGTGTGATGGGTAAATTGTTGCCATTTTATATTTTTAATTTTGTGCAAGTGCATTGTTTGTTTTTGATTTTGTCAAATGCACAGCATAGTAGGGGCAGTTGGGTAACATCTGTGAGAAAAAGACGACCATGATGCAATTCACTCCACCAAAAATATGAAAATAGCATGCTGTACTGCTTGGCATTTGTGCCAAAAGCTCCAATAAAAAACATTTCAGAGTGTTTGGGTGTCAATCTGAGGACAGTGCAGAGGATTTGGAAAGAGTTGGATGAATCTAATGGTGATTACAAAGGTATAGCAGCACAGAAAACTTACTTTGATTGTTCTGATAAGAACACCCAAATTTGTTGGCGAATCCCTCAGACTCCACATGGAGGCCTACATCAAGTACCTTGAGGAGGTAGTGCTGCCTTAGGTCAAGAGGGGGGGTGCTAGCAACAGAACTCTGCACCATGCCACACAAGCAGGAGAAGCCCAGTCACGACTGTCAGACAATTTCTGTGACCACATCACCCTTAACATCTGGCTGCCCAACTCTCCAGACATTATTTATGTCATTATTATGTGTGGGGTGCTATTGAGTGAGAGACCAACAAAACATATAACGCCAAAGATGAACTGAAGGCAAGGATTAGGGCAGTATTGAAAACTTAAACAAAAAGACCATCCAGAAGAGATGCAGGAGATTCTGAAGTCATCTGGAGGCTGTGGCCGAATAAATATACTCTTTGCATATTTCAAGACATTTTTGTGTAATTTTGCTAAATACATCTGTTAAAATGGATTGTCAGTGTTATTTCCATTTTTGCATAATTTAGGCAATAATTTATCTATTGCACCATGTGTGTGTGTGTGTGATAAAATTAGTTGTTAATCTGTAATTCCACAGAGGATATAAATCCAGAGAGCTCAATGTAATAACAGAGCAAATGATAATTAAGAACACAGAGATTTCAGAAAATCATGGTAATGTTTTATTTTGTGAAATCGAGGTTTTCAATTTTGCTTCTTCAGACGAAACAGTTTCAACAATGAGGTGTGTGTGTGTTGACACTGAGGTCAACACTGAGTGCTGAGTCTGTTTCATGCTTGAACACAATCTTCAGACCATATTCAAGAGGAAAGAATTTAATGTAATCGAATGGCCTAATCAAAGGCCAGATCTCAATCCAGCAGAACTCATACAATCTGAAGGAGTTGCTGCAGTTTTGTCTTGAATAATGTGGATAAATATTGGTGTTTAGGTGTTAAGCTTATAGAAACTCACTAAAAGATCTGTAGACGGAATTGCTGCCAAAAGGTGTGTGTACAAAGTACTGGCTGGGATGAATAAGTGGATAAATTGAGTAAATCAAATGATACAATACAGCTTCTACACACAAAAAAAAAAAACAAAAAAAAACATTAGAATTCTGTATAGTAAACAATAGGAAATTTTCATATATATAAGGAATGAATATTCACACATGGCACTGGGAGTGGGGATATGTGCATATCAAGACAAAATTTGTAAAAAAAAAAAAAAAAAAAATCCTCTAGATAAATTTAATCATGAATGAAATTTCTAATACAATGTGAGCAGATGAGAAAGTGAGTAATATTTGAGATAAACTTTTGTTAAAAGCAAATGACTTAAAATATATCTGTTCATACAAGCAAACATGAATTAAAAGGATGGGTTATGTAAACACACAGTATTTACTGTCCCCACACTAGGATGAGATGTGACACAAGGTCTATTTTTAGGAGGGGACCTGAGCGTATACGCCCAGGACAGGAACAAAAAATTCCCCTCAGCCCCCGCATCAATCCCTCCCTCTGGTGCAATGGGAAGGTGTGGCCTCGGGCAGCTGTTCCCCAGGGCTAGGCACCTCTCAGTATTATTTTCCTCAGTTGTCCCTGTGTCCTTTGACAGAGAAGCCCCTGAGCGCACACTGTCCAAAGACAGAGACGCAACTGAGAGATGATAAGATGTGTAACTACTCAAAAAGAGTATGTAAACGCACACACACATTTTTCCTTCCTCACAGGTAGCATGAGTGAGTTTCATGCACAACTTCAGTCTCAATTCAGTGCTGTGAAGAAAAGAAAAAAGTATATTTATTAATATATAGTTTATAGCACTGTTCTATTGCATCAAGCACTATTTTATTAAAATAGTGAACACTCTAGCTTTCTTCAGGTGATTGGCATTTCAAACTGAACTCTTTATTTCGTCAACCAGGGTAGATTGTTCTTGTTCCACGTGCCATGCCTTTTCTGAACGTTTCAGTTATTTCCTTTTAACTCAACTCTCTAAGTTTTTTGTTCACCACTGTAATACCTAGATACTGAACTCATGAGGAAATGGCATTAGAATCTACATATCTAAAGTCAACCCTATGGTTGATACATAGTTGACACCTTTATACTATGGCCACATCAGGAAGAGGTCCAGTTACTACTGAACCATGTGAACTCAATAAGATCATTGATACAGTTCACAATGGAGAGAGAAAATAACAACAAACTTGGCTTCCTGGATGTACTAATATCTCAAACAGAGCATGGGTTCAAGATATTCATATATCCCAAGGTTACATTCACTGGACAATACCTCAACTCCCACTACCTGTACAGTGTAAAGAAAGGGATCATTTGCTGCTTACAACATCGAGCAAGAGTCATAAGTGGTGTCCCACAGATATATGAACAAGAAATAGTCAGCATAAGTAGTACCCTACAACATAACAACTACCCTGAGTACATGGCAACAGTTCCAACAAACTGGAATAGAAGGGTACAACAGGTTGACAACACTCAGAAAACAGCTTCAGTCTGCCTACCCTATGTGAAGAGATTATCGGAGAAAATGCAAAAGATCTGTGGTCCATATAACATCAGGACAATCTTCAAAAGTGGTTCAACACTTTACAGACACCTCTTCCAAGTAAGACCCCCCCCACATAGAGGAGAACATGACCGAGGACTGTGTGTACGCCATTCCGTGCAGCTGTGGTAACAAATAATGGTTGCCGAGACATTAGGTTTATAATCCAAAAAATTCATACATAGATGTCCTCATGGCCCAGTGGATAAAGGTGTTGGTTAGATCCAGTGACTAGACCCAAAGAGTTGTGAGTTCAATATCTACAGTAGTAGTAGTGGTGAACCAAATAACT